TTCCCCCCCGTCGCTTAGGTCCCCTCTTTCTACCTGGTGGCAAGAAGGCAGGGGATCCTCTGCTTCTCGTGGAGCCTCCATCTGCTGCGTCTGCCTCAGGGACGGTAGGGTGCGGCTCCAAAAGGGAGCCTTGAAAAAGGCTCCTTGAAAAGGCTGGACCAGGCATTGTGTAGAAGAAAAAAAAAAGTAATTTTTTTGTAGGACTTAAGGTTTGATTTGCTAAAACCAGACACTTCTCTGCAATTCATTTTTGCCACACATGGCATGTTGAACCAGATTATTTCCTTATTCATGTTACAATTGCAAAGTAACCCCACTGCATGAGCCATAACACTTTCTTAAAGGTCTGGAATCATTGCATTTGTGTATTTGTGGCTCCTGCTGTTGAGTAGCCTTAAGGGACTTGGATAAAGGAGCATCAAGGTTTGGAAAGCATAAAACAAGTGGTTCCTTCCCTTTGGTTGCTTTTAGTTCTTCTAAACTTCTCAAAGCTCAGTGAGATCAGATTACAAGTAGGATTCTCAATACTTCTTTCTTTTGCCCTTTCAAAGCTGCTTGAATTTTTAGATTGACGTTTTCCTATCAACATTTTTTTCTGTCTTTGAAAGAACAAGGAAGTGGTATAGGTTAGGCGTATAAGTGAGTGGCTGGAGTGAAAGGATTACCTTGGACACTTACTGGGTGGAGAGGCTCTTCTGACTCAGTTGACTTTAAAGGTTATTTTAACTTTGAAAGTGAAACTGGTAGATATGATTTCTTTGGAGACCCACGGTTCCCTTCTCTCAGCACCAGGCTTTAACTGCAGCCTGTGCAGCCAGGTTCCTTCTAGTTTCTTCTGGCCCATGAATCTTTAGTCTGTACTGTCCAGTGATGCAACTTGAACAGAGGTGAGAGCTGCTGCACACCCACAACTGTGTGCACTGGGAAGGAGCGTACTCTGAAGTGAAGATTAAATGACCCCTTTAGACTGGAAATAATTGAATCCAGGATCCTATTTCTTGTGCCATGCTGTAGTGATGAGATAGTGTACATAGGACACCACTACAACCAGTTGTATTTGAATGGAGTAATGACTTATTTTTATTTTTTTTAATGGAAAAATTATAGAGAGTATGCATGCTTGCATGAGAAACAAACGGATCAAAAAGGTTCATGCTCTATCTGAGGTTATAGACATAAGCCAATTACTCAACTTGTCATGACTTGAGAAATTTTATGCAGTTGGCAGCTTAAAATCCATTTAAGTCCTCCCTGGTCTCACTAATTTAAGATGTTAGTGTTACTTGTCTCTCTGTGGTTTTGGGGGGGTTTTTTTAGGACTCATCTGTATAACTTAATGTTTGTAATAAATATTTTCTGTTGCAGCACTTCAGTCCCCTTTAAGAAAACTTAAGTGCTGTGATTTGAAGAACTGTTCTAAAAAAAAAGGTTGTTCAGGTTGTTCTTCTTGCAGTTTGAGCTGGCTAAAGTGTAGTCTCTCTCCGTGACCCTTTGACAGGTCATCTGACTTCTATTTTTGAAGGTTTGCAGCCCCCATTGTTGTAGCGCTCTTAAACCGTGTTCTGGGGGGTAATGCTGGGTCAATAGCAGTCCTAGGAGTTGCAGTTGTTCTTGCCTCTGTATTTATTCTTTCCCTACTTCCCTCTCGACACACACTTCTTTTGACATAAACTACAGTTTGTGAAAAGACCTCGAGGGTAGTTTTGTATCTGTTGCTCTTCATGAGAAAGAAGGGGAAAAAACAGTAAGTAATGCAACACCTTTCTGTGCAGAAGCACTGTTCTCACATTCAGACCATCTTGGCTACATAGCCATAAGTATTTTCCTTTTCAAAGTAGGAATCGTCTCAAAGATTGCTTTCCATTTGGTATTCTGCAGCAGATATCATCTTAGCACAGGCCTGAGCACAGTCATGAAACAGTTACTTCTTTGTTTACATGATATAGATGAAGTTAATGGGTAACTTCAGTTACAGCATATTACAAAGAGGAATTTTATTTTTTCAGTGTAAATAGAATTTAGCTTTACAAATCCTTACAAGCAGTCCTCACAAGTGATCTTAAACTGTGGTACTCTTAACTCCTGAACTGCTGTCTGTAGTGCAAAGTAGCTGTATTTAGCCCATTGACTTTTTTTGCCTGGGACATTGTTTTTCTTCTTAGATCTAGTTAGAAAAATTCTCCCTGTTTCAAAAATAGGTTTGATATTTATCTTTGCATTTTTACGAAGTGACCATATAAATTCATATTAGTTAGATGAAAATTGCTGTTGTCTACGCTACATGCAAGGCATGCTGTTTTGCCATTTCTTAATGTATCTGAACGTGATCTAAGATTCTTGTTGACTCCTGTCTTACATTTAGAATGTTATCAACTGCACATAAATGGGCTTTATATTTTCACTACATCATGATATCTAAACCAGTCTGTTTTCCTTTCTGTGTCAGTGTAAGTGTCCATCCTGAAGGAAGGGTCAGTGAGAAGACTTTTCTTACTATACCAGTATCACTAAAGCTTATGCATATGAAACTTTTAAGGCTGCTTATGCCATCCCATTTAAATAATAGTTAAATATATTAAGGGCAACAGTGGAAAATGAAAGCATCTACTCCTCGGTACTGTGTGGTTTTCTTGGGAGGCGGGATGGGGGAGGCCTCTCCAGGGCTTCACAGATATAAATCAAATGCAAAATACAGTTTAGAGTCCCATGTCTTTCTTTTCTGTCATCCAGTGCGGTAACCTCAACATGTTATTTCTATTCCAGAGAGGCCAAACACAGTCTCCACCACCCCCAAAACCTCCATCTCCTAGCTTTGAATTGGGTTTATCTAGCTTTCCTCCGTTACCCGGGGCTGCTGGCAATTTAAAAACCGAAGACCTTTTTGAAAACAGACTGTCCAATGTGGTAATAGGAACGTCAAAAGAAAGAGTGAGTAGCCAGTGTTCATTTTTTGTTGGGAAAACAAAGAATTGCATACCTCTTGTTTTCAGATTTGGTGGCTTATACATAGAAAAAACTTGTGGTTCTACATGGGTCATAAGAAATGCTTTTAAGAAACAGCTGTCAAATGATGCGCTGCTGCCGCCTTCACTTATATCTTAGAATTTGTTGGGTATTCACTTTGAAATGGTGTGGAATATGAGCACCAGTATAAGTAGATGTTAATAGTAGAGATTAGAAAATATGCTCTTTGCTGTTCATAATTGCCTCAGGCTTTTTGATAGACTCAGGTGAAAAATATGTGATAAATTTTCCTCCTGTTTGAAAGTCATACTTCCCAGTTGTATATAAAACACTTTAAAGTGACAGCATTGTCTTGTCATATTGCTTGGAAAGAAAAAATATACCAGAATGACTTGGCAACCACTGCTTTCTAGATGTAGTAGAGATGCAGTTGAAAATTAATGTTCAGTAGCTGTTCATAGATTTCATTCTTAGAACTGTCTCTACCATGCCATCTGTGAGTGACAGTATGTTCTCCTCCATGAAGACTCATATAACCCTGTGCACTATGGAATAGTCTAGGCTATGGAAGTCTATATTGGCTTTTTCTGCTAGCTCTAATTTAACTTGTGTTTTTCTAGCTGTACCACAACTGAAGACGTTAACCCCTGGATATAGCAGTGCAAAGCCACCTGATGAAACACCAAAATCTCTCGTGTCTCGTCCCTAAAACTAGTCTATTGCAGAAGTGTTTTCTTTGGTGCCCATGTATCAGGGGTGGGTAGGGAGGGTATTTGTTGGTAAAGGAAAGAGAAAGTGGCAGGGCAGCCTGCACCCAAAGCAGTGATTGCGCAGACAAGCCATCTATTCTGTCTCCTGCAAGTGGTAACAGTGACAACTATATTCCAGGGTCACATTTAGGGGGGAATGTGCAGGACAGTGCCATGATAAGAGCAGTGTTTAACTTGCTGTCAGCCAGTACTCCAGATTGTAGTCTGTTCTTGACCCAGATCTATCTATTTTTAAAGTATTTTACCTCTATTATTTCTGAAGTGTTTTTTGACTATCATATTCCAGCACTTACTATTGATACTGCAGCTGAAAACCCATTGCTCCTCCCATTACAAATCTAGTACTTGCTTTGCACTGTACTTACTGTAAAGAACTTGCACTTGTCCCCTGTAGAGGCAGTCTTAATATCAGTCAGGCACTGTGGTTTTATGATAGTGCTGCTGCACTGTCACATTAAAAAGCTTCCTTTGATTTCCCAATTTCTTTTTCTGGCTTGTATGAGTTAGTGTGTACCATTGTGTGGAAGAAAGGGATTGCGCTGTCTTTCCTTGTAGGCATTAATAAGGAATAAGATAACAGCAACTGGGTCCAAAGAGCGATTGTGTTCTACTACAAAGGTGTTTGAGTAATGTTAGAATCTTGCCAATGTATACAGGCTGCTTTTCACCTTGATCTCAACATTTTTTTTCATGTCACCTGATGTGGAGTTACGAAGTGCTGAAGTAGAGTTACACAGCGCTACTCTTGTTTTATAGATGGGCAAGTCCAGTGTACAGAAGCTGAGTGAACTTAGGTTGTATAATTTCCAACAGTTGTTATCCAAGCATCATATCTTTATGCTCTTTGCTTTGTGATGCTCTTCTAGATGTAGCTCTGGGGAACGGCAGGTGTTAATCATCCCACATTTTCTAACTAGGAAACTGCAGCGCTGTCAGATCAGGGGCTGAGTGTTTTGGCCTAGGAACAGCACTTGCACGTCCGCTTGACTTGCAGCTATTCACACTTAACCATGTACCTACAAGTTTTGATGAACTTGGGCCAGAATGCTCAGCAACTTGCAATTTCAAGCCTTTGCACACACTATTATAGCGAGTAAAACTACAGAAGCTGTTCTTTTATTTCTAAACATCCACCTTTTACAGTTTTACTTTTACTTTGAGTAAAACTAGGCTTAGATCTACTGCAATAATCTATGCTGCCTGATTTTAAACAGTGTCATCAAATACCATTTTCCTTTCTAACAGTGACCACAGGAGTCTCGTTTTATGACCTTCGTATGGTGGCTGGGCTGGGGGAAAGGGGTGGCTATCTTGTTCCTTCTGTGCTTGTGTTCTCCCATTGCTCTCCCTTCTGTTTACCAGAATCTGTTCTGGTTCTAGGGTCAGACAGGTCAGAAGCAATACGAAGAACATAGCACTTTTTAAAACAAACAAAATGGTTATAAATGTCAGAAATACATTTTTCAAGATAAAGTTGTCTCTTTTCTTACTTTGTGACAATTTAAATTCATGCATGCATCTTGAACCTATTTGGCCTTTATCTGCAAGCACAGTATCACTTGTCACTAGCAGAATCTTCTGAGGGCTATGGAAAAAGCCTCTTTTGCTTGGTAGCAAATCACACTATAGCATAAGAAAGGGACTCTTATAAATGATAGTCTTATTCTAGTTTGCAAAAACTTCAAATTTTTTTTTTTTTTAAGGTTAGGGGTTTTTAGTACCAGCTATTGAGATGATGAAGAAGACAGTTCTTGGTGCATAGCTCTAGGACAGTTTTGTCTTAATAGGCTAACTATGGTTATGTGAACGGGTGCAAAGCCTACTTTTGTCACCAGCAGGTGCAAAATTCGCAGGTTGAAAGAAGTGATTTTGTCATCCAGATATGTCCCAAAGGGAACTAAGCTTCCAACTTTTTGGGAAAGAGCCACAGCGTGTGATTTATTTGTCTGTGTTTCTAAATAATTGTAAAGGAAAAAACTTATTTGCTACAATACATATATCAGATCCTTCTGTATCTTCCTATAGTTAATTTACCCTTATAAGTCAACTTGTAAACTGTTTCCTGATTGTGTTAATTTTCAGGCAGACCATATTAATTGGATATTATGATTGCCCTTCTGTGCCTCTTTTTCCTCCTCCAGAACATTAATGTGGATGCAAGTACAAACACTATTCCATCGGGAATTCCTCGAGAGCCGTTGTTGCCAGTTTCTTCTACATTGCCCAGGACGTTTGAAAGGTCTCCTTCGCCATCCCAGTCTTCTGAGTAAGCACTTAATTACATGGCTATAATTATTCTGCTCTGAATCACGTTTGCATTTTCTCTCATCAGAAGACTAGGTGGAACACTGTAAATAGCTATTAAAGTCTTAATCAATGAAAGAAATAATATTTTGTTGTATATTGTACTTGTAGTAAAGGCAATAAAGCTTAATTTCTGAACAATATCATAGTAGTGATTCAGTCACAATGGTCATTCAGCAGACAAAAGTTCAGTGTTGTGTTTTAGTCTCTGCAAGTATTTAAAAGTTTAATGAATACCTGTCGTGTATTTAGATAGCTTTGAAGCATAGAGAATAAACCCACGATCCTGTGGGCAGTACCATTGTCCATACAATAAAGAAAGTTTTCAGTAAGACTTTATTTGGAACCTGCAAATCAAATCGAGGTGTTTGAGTAACAGGAGTAAGATAACTGAATAACCAGATGCTATCAGAATGTCACAAATTACAGGTAGCATCAAGTTCCACAGGAATACTTTTTCTAATACTTGATAGCATTTTTAAATGCAACGCTAGTCATAATGTGCTAGGCAAATTATAGCTATAACTTCTTATAGTCATACTCAGATAAAGTTTTAGACCCATTATTAAATCATTCATCTATCCTGAAGTTTCACTTTTCATGAGCCTTGCTTCCTGCTGGATGCTTACAGGGACTCCAAGGTTGTGGATAAACAGCAGAGAGAGACACAGAGTACAGAAAGGCTTTCTTCTTCCACACTCAGTACTGCATGTAAATCGGTACAAGTCAATGGGGCTGCCATAGTAAGTGACCTTATTGCTTCACTTTCTCTTAATGATCCAGTTTGATGCATTTAACAGAATATTGCTTCCGTTGCTACCCAGTGTTGCTTCATCGTGTGAGCCCAGCATCCTTAAATTTGCGTGTTGGTGGCCTCATGATTACTTGCACGATACAATTATGCAATTAACAGTGCAAAAGTGTTCAAGATAACTCGGCGAATGATAGCTCTTTATCTGAATTCTTTTCTTGGTAGTATCCTTGAGGTAGAAGCTTTAATGCATATGTTGATATTTAAACCAGAGTTTTAATTCATCATCTTTCAGCTGTTTTAGAGTTTGCTTGAATCAGAAGTATTTTGCCCTATCACAGTACCCCATTTTTCTGGCATGCTGTCTTGAGCCTTATTGTCTGTACAGTTTCTGTAAACTTCATACTCAAGCCCTCATCTGCATATTTTAGTGCAGCAGTCTTTTGGGACAAAGACTTTACCTTTTTTGTTCATGAAAGTAAATTATTTTTTTCTCAGGATGCTTTGTTTAACTCTGCTGTCCTGTTTGCTTTTGATTTCACAGGAACTGCGAAAACCTAGTTATGCAGAAATTTGCCAGAGAACAACTAAGGATCCTCCTACCTTGCAACCCCAGAAAGAACAGAAGCCAAACACTGTAGCATGTGGGAAAGAAGAAAGAAAGCCCACAGAAACAATAGAGAAAAACAGAGAACCTCCTCCTGCAAAGTCACATCCTGGACAACCCAAAGACCAGAGGAGACAGTCAGGACGCAGATCGTCCCCTCCAGCCGTTGGCAAACGCTTAAATAAAGAACAGAATACCCCTCCAAAATCTCCTCAGTGAAACTAACACCTGGGAGGGATTTGAAAAGAGGTCTGCTTCCCACAAATTAAACCCATGTTCCCACTAAGATACCTGAGAATGAGTTGCTGGTTAAGAGCTTGCAGTGATACTAGGCATATAACAATGCCTGCAAGTTATTTTTCTGTGAAATACTTTTTTCCCCTCTTGAACAAACATTCTATTTTTCTGGATATTTCTGGATAGTTGTTCTAAACCTTACATTTAGGTTGGTGCTTAATTGGAGGTGAAGCTTAGTGTGATTATTTTTTTTCAAGATGTAAAATATTTGTCTTTAAAAAAAAAAAACAACTTTTTATTAAGCCTCTCTGTGGCTGTGTGAGTGCAAGCTCTGTATAGTGAGTTTTTTCTAAACTGTTAAGCAGAAATGTGCTGCTGCAATATTTTTAATAAACTGGTCTGCAAGTACATATCTAAAGTGTCCAAAAGACTGATAACGGCAGCTAGTGTGTAGAGTGCAAGGAAGTAGATACATTTTACGAATTAGTATGTGACCTTGAAGATTTTTTTTTTATTGGGCTGCTGTACTAAGTGTCAGCAAATGAACTTGCACTTTTAGGTTAATGAGTAGTTGTTTCTAGTGGTTTTTAAGAAATTTAATCTTTTTTTGATGTTTTGCACACACAAAATGAATCCTAGGGAGCACCATAGCAGTCTTTCTAAAATACTTCCTTTTTTGACTTACTGCAAGCAAGTAACCATCTTCTCACTCCAGAATAAAACTGATGTTATAATTTGCAAATACAAAGCACATTGTGAATAGAAAGAATTAAGTCTGTGAGCCTCTATGGTGGTGAAGCCTGTTAGTGGATGTTATCAGGAGAAAGCACTGTAGCCTTCTTGTGATAACCTTAGCTTCCCTGTGCTTGTAAGGGAGTTAACTGAGTCAGCGCTGTACGTTCTGGTTACCCCTGTGCTCTGTGTTAGACTTTTTTTTTTTAACTCTGCCCCAAGTGCTCTTTGAAAGAGTTCATATCTTAGTCAGCCTTGTGTTGACGTCTTCCTGTAACTGCAAGCATTGGCATACGGATTTAAATTTTTTTCAAGACCTGAGATAATGGTGTTTGTTTTGTGTGGTGGAGGAAGAGATCCCTGATACTTACCTCTGGGATGAGGTTTCTCACACTTACTTACTTTAGAAGTGATGCGCTTTCTGAAGGACAAGGATGCACTAAATTAGCAAGTTTCTAATAAAGTTGAATATAAATTATTTTTGTTTTAAAATGCCTAAAGTTTTTCTTTAAGTGTTTAAACTGCAGGAAGTTCAGACAAAACTCATTCCTGCTGACTATGACAGTACAGTTTATTCCGCAAAAATGTTTATTTAAACAACTGATTTTTTTAAAGAATTATTTCCATCCAATATTTAAAGACTTGAATTTTATTTAAACTTGAAAATGACTTTGCCTTAACTTTTGTACAAGACAGCTTAGAGTTAATGAGGTCTGACCCCGTGGAGGGTTAGCATGAGTGGAATACAGAATTACTCAGTTACAGTATGTATCTATTGTCACTGGTCTTACTGGGTAAACATACTGTAGTACAGGAACTAGCAGCAGTTTTTGTAATATACCTTAAAGATCTTAAACAGTTGATCTTTTTCAGATTGTTGAAAAACCTGTAAATGCAAATAGTCAATACTGTATTAAATATGTGCACTTGGAAGTGTGTGCTTTGCTTGTACAGTTGTAAATAATCAGAACATATAAAAAGGTACCCTAAAGAAAAAATCTGATAAAAATTATTGATATTATAAATGTTGCTGTTGAGCTGGATGTAGATAAACTAAATGTTGTGGTTTGAATATTACTTTAATTTGTTGTTTTTTCTTTTTCTTATTTTATTCTGGTGTGCTGAACTGACTCTGCCTCTTGGCTGCAAAAGGGAAATGGAACGAAAGTCTTATTTGAAAGCCCTCAACTGTTTTCCTAAGACCCTGTAAAAACAAGCGATTTAACCAATTCAAAAGTGTTCTGCAATGTAAATAGTGAATTTCAGCAGTCAAACTGTAATTTTAAGTCATTAATAAAATCAAATTTAATTGGAAAAAAACTTTAGACTGCTACAAAAATATACACTGAAGCTTACTTGTCTGCTTTCAAGAATATCAGTGCTTTCCTTAGTGTATGATTCACAGAACTGTAAAGTAACTATAGAAGTTGACTCCTGATAAATTTCCTATTGCAAGCATCAATTGGTAACTAGTTGACCTTTTAAATCCAGCCTGTTGTATGCTGCAGAATTGGTCAAAATAGGGCATGCTGGAACCTGTTGATTTTTCTTGTTTAAAAAGCGCACTTTGCGAATGCTGTGGGAGGAGATAGGACTGGGACAATGTCACCAAAACTGCTCAACTAGTTCTGTCATTGGATTTTTAATATGCTTCTCCTTTCCCCAGTGGCAGTGAAAATGGTAGCTAGAGTTGTGTATGGTTTAGGCCAGCTGTATGATTCATTTTGTTTGTCTGCTGCAAGTGAAAGGCTTACCAGCTGCAAACAATCACAAGTGGTTCCTTACAGCGACTGTGTACAGCTAGTCATAATACTCAACTGGTACCTAAGGTGATATATTGAGACCAGTGGGATGTGTTGTGCTGTTCTAATGTATTCTGCTGCCATTTGTGCTAGGTCAATACACTGTAATTACTGCTCACCCAGCAACAGTCTGTTGCATCGAAAGTTTAAACCTTCTTCTGATGTGGTTTTTATAGCTTTTTTTAAAAAGAAAAAAAGTGACATGCCAAATAGCTGTGTAATATACAACTTATCCTTACTGCATTTTACTTTGGGATTTTTTTTTTTCCCACTCAGTGACAAAATGGAGTTTTCGGAGTAGAGTTGTGAAGTTGCATGCAGACTGTTGCTACGATACATAGAGAGATTAAAATGTGGCTTTTAAAATGAAAAACCTCCCAAAAGCAGTAGCTGAGTTAAAGGTTCAGGGATATGGTAATTAAAATCGGTATTTTACCGTCTAGGACTGTGTGGTGATGCTTTTCATTTTGAAAACAAGTCAAAATGGGATCTGAGACTCTTCTTCCAGGAATTTAAAAAAAAACAAAGGTTGCTTTTAAAACTGAATGTTGTTTCAGATCAGTCCCCCGCCATGACGCTGTCATTTGCCACTTAGGAATCTGTGTGTGAACAACGGCAAATTTTTTAACGTTGCTGCGTTATCCTTCAAAGACTTCAGCAGTTGGCATAGAAAGGCCCTTGTTTGAGTGTGGTGCAGTGTATCACGAGCAACAGCTGACTGTAATGGTGCATACCTATCTCTGTATCTCCTTCAGCTAGCTACAGTTAGGGATTTTTATGTGCTTTGTAACCTATTACACTAATAGCAGCAGACAATCGAAGATTTCTAAGGAGACCTAACAGCTGCCAATTCATGAAATAGAAGTGTAATATGGGAGCCTTCTTGAGGGTTTTTGTTTTTGTTCTTCTTCCATTAAGACTGGAATCAAGCTTACATGTAAACTATCAGTAATTTAAGTTTCCTTTTGTGTCATAAAATGTAAAACTGTCTAATTTGAAAAAAATATGTAGGTTATGAAAAATAAAGATTTAGGCACTGTTGAATTCCTGATTTTTTTAATTAAACCTTTCTTCAGCAGTATTTTTCATTACCTTCTGTCTTTTGCTCCCATTTTTGGAAATTATTTATTTCTGATTTTGGGAAAAAAAAAATCTTTGCTTGCTTTACTGTTCAGCACAGCTGTTGTAACCATCACCTAAGGCTATATAGCAGCAGCAAGAACACCTATAATGTAACGCTGAAGGCAGCAGTATCTATCTCTATTAGGTACCTGTGACTGGTTAACTTTTTAAAAAACAAAAAAGCTGATGTGATGTTTTGTTTACTAGAGGTTATCATCTTCAATAGTGGTTTCCTCAAATTATTACATAAAGTGTTGGCTTGGTCTTAAACATGGATTTTAACGTATGGGTTAGTGCTTTGGTTGCATGGCTCTTGAATCTGGAGATGTCCTGGGGTTATTTTTGGCTTTGGCTGGTTTTAGAGGTTATCCTGGTTATGCCTCTAGGAAAGAAGAGTTTCTGGGATATCCTCCCTCTTAAGTAAAAGATCTATTTTGGAAATACTTGAAACCCTTTTTCTTTTTTTTTAGGTTTGTCTCTCGTTCAGCTAGATCTGACCAAGTTTAACAATGGACGTAAGCATGGAAGTATTAACCACTACTGTGTTTCATAAGCATGTTGGAAGTATTGCAGTATTATTCTTCAGGCTGGATGTTCTGTAAGCTTCTGGACAGGTTAGGCTGCTTGCTGCTTTATTTCCCCGCTACTGTCTGCTCAACAGAGTAGGGCAACACAGGAATACCAGTGTACACTGCAAGTTCCTCCATGTTAGAAAAGTCAGTTAAACATTAGGCTTTGGTGGTGATGTGGATTACAAGTACTTGGAGACAACCAGTTTTCACTTCAGCACGGAGTATCCTGTTCTGCCCTTGGAACTCAGTTTTCTATTACTTAACATGTAAAAATGCATAGAAATTTGTCAGCAATGTTGCCATAATCCTAGTGTGGCTCTTCAGGACCACCCCAGCTTTGGCAGGTGTCGGGGATTTATTTGTTCACGCAACAAAATTGGTCAGTGTCCCTTTTGTGTTAGTTTTCCCCAGTACAAAGTGATGTTTGATGGCTGCACCAATGTTCATATTGAACAAATTGTTTCGTTTCCTCTTGGGCATGAGAAGATTACATGCAATTGAGTATGCAGAGATTACTTACTGTCACAGAAACTGTGACTCATTGCATTTTGATCATAAGGCTGCTTTAGAAAAAAAGATGAAGTTTTAAGTTTTCTAGTACGCTTTTACTTCACCAACCTCTGGAAGTTAAAACCTCCTATTCTGTTGATTATCATGGCCAGGCTTTTATGAGTGCAGCCGCTTAAGTCAGGGAAGTGATTGAGTTTCAAATTTTGCTGGTTTATAGGTGGAAGTAATGTTACCCACTTCACCTCTGCTTCTGAGAGAACCAGCTGCGTAGCAGTATGAAGCCCTGGTGCCATCCGGTTACAGTAGCTCAGTTACTGCAACATCCACTCTCAGCATGGATATACAGCTTTCACACAATTCAATGGTCAACTTAAGTTGATCAAGTAGAAATTTGCTCCTGTTGAAGTGGTGCATGGAATACTGTTACTGAACTGTTATGCCAAATAAGCACAAAAATGCTATGAAGAGGCTGGCCTACCTGGGCTGTGCCATGCCCTTCCTGTCTGTCTGCTCCCTCACATCGGCACGCTGGCCTGTCTGAAAAGTAACTGAGAAAGAGTTGGAGGTATTTTGTTTGTTTGTTTTGTTGTGTTTTTTGGAATAGGTCAGAAGCTGTTGTCATACCACCAGCAGAACGGAGGAAGGGACAGGAATACGCAGTTGGTGCCCAGAGGAGACTGGCGTGGTGATGGTCCTGGCAGGGACAGTGTCTTACATCAGCTGAAGCAAACTGAGTGTTTGTACAATTAGCTTATGATGTCTTGGCTTAAATGTAGCCCTGCTTGCTCAGGTGGACATGGCTCAACTCATCAAGCTTGGTCATTTTTGAGCCTTATTTTCACAATGGGGAGAAGGGAGGAGAAAGGGTCTGAGTTTTGCTTTAGCCTTTTTGGTTATTCTTATGTACGAGCTGTACATGTGCTAAATCTTAAATCTGTCTCATGGTGATAGACTGTCAGAAGTCTTTGTGCATTGTCTTGTCAGAACTGGTTTGGGAGCAGTTCGCTGTTTTGCAAAATGGAGGGCAAAATGTGTGTGTGCTGGGGAAAGGGAGTCTAAGATAAAATTGCCCCCTAATGTCTCTTAAATTCTTATCAGTTTGAAGAGCAAATTGCTTTGCGTGCTTGTGTTACGCACATACTGTGTGGAAACCATCCTGCAGTCTGATAGCCTTACATCCTATTTACTGTAGGCAGATGGTGTCTGCAGAGTAGTAAATCTATCATGGCTAAGGATGCTCTGAGGAAGGAGGGATAAATGGATGAATTTAGAGTTGTAAAACATACTGAAGCTGGGAAGATCTATGAAATCTACATGGATGGAATTATTGATACCTAATGAAATGTCTCTAATGTCTTCCAAAACTGGAGGCGAAGTCCTATGTATGGTCTCCATGCAGCTTGAGAGGTCAGCCCAGGCAGAACAAGCATGAGGTTCAGCAGGTCTAGCCTATCTGACTGCCCCGTCTCCAAGGCAAACATCTCCTGATGTTTTCCAGGAACTGCAGTTCATAGGCTATAGCACATGTGAGAAACCTTCGTCGCTCTTGCTTTTTTTGTCTCTGACTTCAACTTACTTAGCTTGGGCTTAGCATGTCAGCACGCAGCTCGTGCAGCAGAGCCGGCTCTGTGCGCTGCAGTGGCTCACAGCTCCCACCAGCCAGCCCTGTGTGGTGTGGGAGGCAGCTGCGGGCCTCGCCAGACGGGAGGTCAGCAGGACGTGCTCTGTGGTGGGAACAGAGGTTTGGAGATGAGCGGTTAAATAGGCTCTCTGGGGAGAAGGCCTGTTTCGTAAATGACACTTCTCGGGGATCCGCGGTGTCTGTGGCTAGCCTTGCCTACGCAGTCTCTTACTCCTCCGCAAGGAGGAATGTGATTTCTACCTTGTTTCCCTTTAGAAATAGGATGTGTAAGATGTTTGGTCATTTTCCCTCTCCTACTATAGTCTCCTCCTCCTTTCTCGTGATTCAGTGCTCTCATTCTTGAGAGCTGCATCACTTGTGGAAGATGGCAGCTGTTGATCCCTGCTCCTAAGAATTACACCTGTTTTCAGAAATACAATAGGCTCAGCATTTTGAAACATTTCAATTTGCTGGAGGTTTTTTTTTTGTCCCACTTGTTAAAGCAAATTTGGTACTCAAAGGAGGGTTATCTTGATATGTGTTGATTCTTAGGCTCTAGGTTCCCAAACTATATACAATAATTTAAAAAAAAAAGTATGCTCTATCTTTAAATATTTATAGCTGTTCCTGGGTTTATGGTGTTTATCTGATACTAAGTTCTTCATTTCTATGTTTGCTGGAATCTGTCCTTCCTACATACTGGCAAATGCTAGCTCCATCTTCTCTAGTATGACTCGTGGTGGTGCAGAGGGAAGATGCCTGCCTTGAAGCTATGGCAAATAAGCGCTGGAGAGACCTGTTGATTCAGACAGTAGACACTGAAGTGACCGATCTGCTAGAGTGATTTTCTCAGGGGATTTGATTGCTTGGACTGGCAATCAAATGCTTCCTTGGTAGCAAATCCTGTTTCAAATAAACCTTTGTATTTTACTTTTTGTTTGAATTAGCTCTTCCCATGGAGACCTAAACTCAGCCATGCTGGCTGCCATCCTGTGTACTGATGCATGCTTTCATCCTAGCCTAGAAAATACGAAGGCAGCCACAGTGGGTTGGATACATGGAAGTTAGGTGCCAGGTTTAATGTACATTGAGCTTGAAAATCGAAAGAACAAGAGTTGCTCTTTGGAACTGGTTTTTAGTTCTGACATGGCAAAGGGGATATAGGTACCACAAGTGGTTCCAGAATGGGAAGGTAGGGAAGTGCAGTGGAGCTGGACTTAGCAAGTCACGCAAACAGTGCAGCACATGCTTCACCATTCAGCCACAGCAGGTTCTGCTGTTTCAGTGGTTCTGACATCCCAGGACGCAGTAGACGTTAGCATTGGTTTGGTGTGAAAAGCCTCTACTTTGTTTCTGCATCAAATGACGTAGAATTGTCTGAAACCACATGTACTAACCCTTTTTCCTGTAACTTCAAGCTGCAGTTTCTATTGAGGGTTGCTCTTTAACTGTAAGAGGGTGAGCTGCTGATGTTTATCTATTGTATTGCTGGCCATGATATATCAAAGATTTGTTTTATTGGCCTGAATGTCGTAGACTTGGTGGTCTCAACAGGTTGGAGAAATGGGCCAAGAGAAATCTTATAAAGTTCAACAAAGGGACCTGCAAAGTCCTGCACCTGATGAGGAATAATCCCATGCACCTGGGAGGGTGACCAGCTGGAAAGCAGCTTTGCAGAAAAGGACCTGGGGGTTCAGGTGGGCAACAAGCTGGACATGAGCCAGCAATGTGCCCTCGCAGTAAAGGCAGCCAACAGCATCCTGGGCAGCACTAGGAAGAGCATTGCCAGCAGGTTGAGGGAGGTGATCCTTCCCCTCTGATCAGCACTGGTGAGGCCACACCTGGGGTGCTGGGTCCAGCGTTGGGCTCTCCAGTTCAAAAAAAGTCACGGACATACTGGATTGAGTCCAGTGAAGGGCTGTGAAGATGACTAAGGAATTTGGAGCATCTGTCATACAAGGAGAGACTGTGAGAGCTGGGACTGTTCAGCCTGAATAAGAGACAGCTCAGGGAGACCTTATCCATGTGTACAAATACCTGATGGGGGGAGTAAAGACGATGGAGACAGACTTCTCCCAGTGGTGCCCAGTGACAGGACAAGAGACAGAGGGCACAAACTTGTGAAGATGATTAAGGAATTTGGAGCATCTGTCATACAAGGAGAGACTGTGAGAGCTGGGACTGTTCAGCCTGAATAAGAGACAGCTCAGGGAGACCTT